GGGGGCTCTGCCTATTGAGAGAAGTGAGAACAAAAGCCTGGGGTGGGGGATCAGGGGTCACCTGTGCTCCCTGCTCACCTGCAGCCTTGTCGGTCACCAGCTTGCTCACTTTACTCTCCACTGCCGTGAGGGTGTCCCCAGGGGCCTGCTCTGTTAGGAGCCCAGCTCGCCGCAGATTGGAGAAGGTTAGAAGGTGCTCAGGGCCATAGCTCTGAAGAAAAGGCAGTTCAGCTAGTTACTAGCACTGTCAGGTGACACAGAGGTGAGGGGGAGAAGGACCACGCAGTCTCTGCCCCGCAGGAGCTCACGCTTTGCTGTGTGAAACATTTTCACATCGGAAATAACCTACCCCAAACAGAGACTAAAAAGCAGCATGAGACTATTAACAGAGAGATCTAAGGATGGAAGGGTTGTGGGGAAGGCCTCACGGATGAAGTAAGACTTGAAGACTGGGAAGGAGGCTGAATCAGTGCCTCGCAAAGTGCTAAAACGAAGGAGATTCCCAGGCGTGAGAACTCATCAGCGGAGCCAACAGCTGAAATGTTTCCTCTGCGGACGTGCACCATGGAGGATATGGGGTGAAAGGAGCGCAGGGGCAGAGTGGCATGCTGAAAGGTGACTCTCTCTAGTACCTCTAAGAGGGAGGCTGGAATGGAAAACAGGGTGGTGACGGGGACAGGAAAGGGATCATTTCTTCTTTTGCCTCTTTCAAAAATGTCCAACAACTGTGCTCCACCAAGTTCCCTCAAGAATACATTCTTGGCCAGGTGCGGTGGCTCACACCTGTAATCCTAGCACTTTGGGAGGCCCAGGCGGGAGGACCACATGAGGCCAGAAGTTCAAGACCAGCCTGAGCAGCACAGCAAGACCCCATCTCTACAAAAAATTTTAAAAATTAGCCAGGCATGGTGGTGGCGACTGTAGTCCCAGCTACTCAGGAGGCTGAGGCAGGAGGATCACTTGAGTCTAGGAGTTAGAGGTTGCAGTGAGCTGTGATGACACCACTGCACTCTAGCTCAGGTCACAGAGTGAGACTGTCTCAAAAAAAAAAAAAAAAAAACCCCAAAATCTTTCTCCAGGCTTTACCTGCAGATACTGTGTTTTCAGAGACCGGTAATCCTTGGGGATCAAACCTGAGGGTGAAGAAAATAAGACAGGCGCGTGGGAAAGAGGCCAGCTGAGGTATCCTAACATGTACAGCCAGACCAACCAAGCGGCCAACACCTTATCAGGAGGAAGGATCCAGTAACTGATGTTAACCTTGCATAGTATACAGTTGATTTTAAACTGACTCCTAAATTTAAGCTTGCTTATTGAAAGACAAAGCCTGCGTCTGAGAGTTCCAAGGAACCTGTGAACCATCAGGGTGCTGAGGAGGGGACGCTGCAGTTGATGCTGCTCACAGTGGGGTGCGGGGATGACGCGGCAGGAGGGAGGAAAAGGGACTTCTCGTGCAGTTCATTCTGGCTGAGGAGCAGTTCTACTTGGGGCGGCTTTCCAGCAACTGAGAAACAGGGAAAGCGGTAAAGTGAGTTCCTCAAGTGCATCTTACATGGTTTTCTCCACAGAGGTAAGAAGAAATGGGCTTCCAACTACAGTAAAGGAGAGTGGAAATAAGCAAAATATTGCTCTGGGTAGAAAGCAAACTTAAAGAATATTCACTGACTGGGCCGGGCGCGGTGGCTCACGCCTGT